GGGAGAGAGAGAGAGATTGTATAGGAATTAGGTACTCTTGCATTCTGGAAAGGGATAATGTGTGGAGAGAGAGATTGTGTAGGAATTAGGTACTCTTGCACTCTGTTCATTGTGATTGTGGCAGAGGCAGAAGGAAGTGTGCCAAGACTTTTGGGCTGACTTTTACCTCTGATTTTTTGCAAATGTGGGGAAATTCTCTTTGTTCCATTGCATCAAAAACTTGATGAGATTTGTTTGGGATCTTATCTATGATGTGTGATCCACTTCCAACCAATTCCACCATGATCCAAAAAACAAATGGAATAAAAGAGCAAAGAGCCCACCTGCCTACTCCACTTCTTTCTCCCTTTACTTTTCAACCTACTACTGTCCCCCTACCCATATCTTATCTCAACCCCAACTCTCAGAGACAGAGAGAGAGAGAGAAGCAGTGGCATAGTACAAGTGTTTGGCCAAAATGGGGTTTTGGATTTCCTACCTACTGAACCAGTTCGGTCTGGATGGGCTAACGAAGTGAAAAATCAATTAAAAATTAATAAAAAAATAAAGTTGGCATACTATCCGGTAATATTGGGGGGACTTGGATCCCCACCTATTGAATCTAAATTGGATCGGTGATTCTTGATTGGATCATAGTTAGTAAGTTAGGGAATAATAAAATATTGGCAAATTAAAAAATCGGTAATAAATCGGTTTTATTTTAAAAGTTGTGAGGAAAAAATCAGGGCAAAATATGGATCGGCAAAATATGGATCGTCAAAAACTGAGATAAGTTGTAGAATCGTGAATATTTCATCTAAAAAACATAGTGAAAAAACTGGAAAGGTAAAGATGACATTATATAGGATAATGATTTGCGGTCTTTTTATAGATACATTAGAGAATTGTATACAATGGCATCATTTACCTTTAGTATAAGGTGGGTTATAATTATTTATAACTATCGGATGTGAAATTTGATAGCTTGAGTGCGTTATAAAGTTCAATTTTTTTTTTTTTTAACATTGAACTTGGTCAACGAAATAAATGTAGCCACCCAATTTCACATCCAATAGTCGAGATTAATTGTGACCACTTTGTATCAAAGGTAAATGGTTTCCTCTCAACTAAATTTTTTTTCGCAACTTTTATTTCAAAATTATGTTTTATAACAAATACACTCTCAAGTCAAAAAATCATATTTTTTGGATGAAAATGGACCACGAAACCTACAACTCTCCCATGTCCAGCAAGTGAAATTGCATTTTGGCAATGTGTCGTTGGTCCGATAGTTGTGTGGTGCGGTTCGACAACATTGTATGGTGATCTCGCTCCGACAAGTCAAATTTCACCCTGGCAATATGTGTTGCCAGTCCAGCACTTGTTTACCGCAGTCAGAGACTTGTCTACTGCGATCCGGCACTTGTTTGCCGTGGTCTAGCACTTGTTTTCTGCATGTTCTTATGACATGGTACTGGTCCGATAGGAATATGTATCGGACCGTCTTTGGTCATTGTGCATCCAACGGGGATTGGTGCCATCATATACAAAGGTATTTTTGTTCAAAAAATATGACTTTTGATTTGGGGGATATTTGCTATAAAATATAGTTTTGGAGTAAAAGTTACGGATAAATAGTTGGTTTGGGGGAGGTTGTCTAGAAAGTTTACTTTTGGGGATTTTTTGTAATTTTCCTTACATTAAAGTCATTAAACAATAATTTTATGGCTTTACCTAGTGTAATTAAAGTAATACTTGATAATTTACTATCTAAATTTTCAATAAATACAACAACAATGCTTATTCTATTGCGGTAACACTAAACATATCGTATATTTATGGGGAGTATAAAATGAATCAACATCAATTAATATTAAATATAAGAACTACATAAGTAAATAACAAGAACTGTGAACCAATGTATAGATTACTTTTCAAAGAAAGCAAAAAAAAAAAACTTTTAGTATAGAATTGCAGTCAACTAAAACTAAAAACAAACATCGAAATATGTAAAATAGTAGTCTATCCAAAATACTATGTTATATACACCAATGAAATAAATAAATAAATAATAATAATATGAAATCAAAACTCTCTATGCATAAAGAAAGCAACAAAACGCTTAAGCAAATTCAAATCTCACACTGAATTCCTATTTGTCTAAATCTAGTATCATTTCATCTCTCTCTTGCTCCTTCTAAAGATGCCTAGGTTTAAAGAAAAAAAAAAATCATTGGGTTACTTTTCTTCTTTTAATTCTACCCATTGTTTTGATATGATTTTATCTTATTTTCTGGATAATACATTGCTTATATTTATTCGTACACTTTTCTAAAAGAAACTTATTGGTGAAATTTTTTTTATTAAATTAAGATTTTTAATTTACTTCCATTGTTAATGTACTTATCTTTCAACTAAAATTCAATAATATAAAGTTAATGAAGAAATAAAGTGATAGAGAATAAGTTTTTTTGAAAAATTATATGAATAGAAATTTATATCGGTTCTATTAAAAAGACACGAGTTTTGAAGATCTTTTGAAAAACTCGAATTTTTTAACTGATTTAAAAAAATTGAAGATTTTTTGAAAAAATCGTATTTTAAACAGAGATGGATCGGGATTTAAAACAGGCTGGGTTTTAAAACCCTTGATCCAAGCCTATGGTGGTGCTCCAATGCTCCCCCTATCTATAATGTATCTAATCCCATCACCAATTCTGACATAGAGAAATCCAAAGAAGAAAAGTGGTTGGTATATGTCAAACAGAGAAGCTGGTAACTTCCAATGTAGAGAGAGAGAGATGAAGGGAAGATAAGTGGTTATGGTGAGAGAGAAAGAACTTCCAAGATAGACAGAGATGAAGGGAAGAGAAGTGATTGTGGTGAGAAAGTGAGACTCTGGTAGGGGTGGCAACGGTTCAGGTCCGGGTGGACCAGGACCCTAACCTGAAATGATACGGGACATAGACCCAAACTCGGACTCGACTAGACCCAACTCAAAAATTTTAATATCTATGCGTTAAACTATATTTAAATATATTTTTTATATTGGGACTTGAAAAAATATTACCAGACCTGAATCCAGATCTAACCCGTCAGGTCCAATAGACCCGGATCGGGTCTACCCTTAGACCTGGCTCCCGATCCATTACCACCCCTAGACTCTGGTAACTGCTCGCAAATAGGGAAGAAAATTTGAGAACAAAATTAGAGTTACGTAATCAGGGGTGCAAAATTGATCAAGTGGACTCGACAGGTTGCATCTAGGTCCAACTGACTTCGACTTGGTTAGGTCCGAGTACCAATCTAACTTAGACTTTTTCAACTCAGGTTCAGTCTGGGTAGACCCGACTCAAACCCTATTATCTGAACCCAACTATGTTTGGGCCGGACTCGGCCCATTTTCACCCCCTAAAGCAAATGAGGACAAAGAGAAACGTTATATATGCTCTCAATTCTTAAATGATAGAAACTTAAATCCACAAGAAAACAATGAGAAAAAGTGACTATTGATTTCACTTCAGATATGACAAGTATTTGTACCTAATCATATCAAAGAAAGCCACATTTTTTAATCTTGTTTGATTATCCACCTTTTCATTTGCTTTAAAACTTTCTAAATGGCGTGGTTTCTATAAGGCTGAGGCCCTAAACAATCAAAGTAAGCCGCACATCCAAATAGTGTTGAAAGATGTTATTTGAGTATCAAATTTTTTTGTAATGGCCTCAAAATTTATTTTTATATCTAATTATAAAATTTAAAGTATCAAAAATGTTGTGGATCGAGCAAATATTTGAATACTTGAAAAACTTGAAAATTGAAGGTCAAGAAAATCCATAACATGATGCATTATTTCTAAGACTTGAAATACATATTTTTTAATGGCCATACATCATGAGGTCAAGATGATCAATTTGAGGATTTTGAAGTATCGAAATAACCTCTTCTAATGAATTATTGAGGAGCACCGTAATTTGATTGTTTAGGGCATCGCCCTTATATATACTTTTTCTGGGTTTTTTAAATTTTTTAAATACAAGATGTGGGGCCTTGTATTAATTAAAAGATTCCAACAAAAACAAACTTCCAAAAAGAAAAGGTGAGAAAGGGAGAAAATGGGTTTGGAGGACTGATAAATCTCTTTCCATTTTCAACGACTCCAACAAACATTCAAAAGTCCATGAAAAGAAGACCAAATGCTCCATTTGATGCCATGTGGCATCAAGACAGAAGCTTAAAACCCATATCTTTCTCTCTAAGAAAGAGTAGTAAAACTAAAGTTATTTTGAAATACACTTAATTATTTTTCAAATAAAAAATACTAATAATTTTTAAATCCCTTTAGAATTTAAAGATGAGCAGCTGATTATTTGAGTAAAAAAGGAGAGATTTTGAGAACCAAAAAACCTTTGTACAATCCAGGGGCATTATTTCTTTTAGCATGACATGTTTCTTTTTTTTTTACTTGCTAGATGGTTTTGTTGAGTAGGTTGTATCACTGAGATTTAGGGTCCTAAAAGTACTCTAAACAATAGCTCAGTTCGAAGGAACAAATGCACATTTTGCTCTCACTAGAGCATATGATCTTTTCAAAGCACAAATAAAATAGTAATTTTTATTTGCGTTCAAGCAAATAGTTTGTATAGATCATTCTTAGTAAAAATACAGTAAAAATTCCCATTTTTTCAGATATTAAGGTGGAATATCTGCTTATGTGCTCAACTAAGAGAATCAAACCAATCGGAAAGGTCCAGTAAAACTGGTGTGATCACTAGTTGAATTAGTTTGGCGAGATTTTAAAAGATTAAAAAATAAAAATGAAGTAATGATTTAAAGTTGTGAAATTTTTGTTTTGCCTGTCCGATCAGTTAAAATCAGTCAAACATGGATTTTGTCCAAACTTTCGACAAGACAAAGGAGGAGCCAATCACGGCCCTGTCTTTTCTTGAAACAAGGTAATATAAACAAGACAGGGCTCATAAAGATCGACAATGCGAGAATCATTAGGCCATAAAATCCTAGAGAGAGAAACAAAAAGAAAAATTATGTTTAGAAGGAAATTGCTAGAGAGAGAAAGAGAGACAAATTATGTTTCAAATGAGCTTGGAGAAAAAAAAGGCACTATTGTCGTTTTTCAGCTAAACAAATCTTCTCCTTTTCTTTTGTGAAGAAAACGGCAGATTTTGGAAAAGGAAGCACTAAAACCACTTTAATTTTCAGAGAAAAGTAATGGCATGACAATCGTTTTCTTTTTCATGTCGTATAGAAAAGACTAGCCTCACGGATTTCCTTCTTTCTACAAGTAACCTGCCAAAATTTAAGTAGAGAGAGAGAGAGAGAGGGAGGTGACCTCTTAAATCGCCATACACAATTTTTATGGAAATACCATAATTTCAAAGTTATTAATAACCACCCAAATTTGTAGAAATTCACATTCCATGAAAGGGAGAGGTAACTTATCAATAGGGGTGGCAATGGGTCGGGTCGGTTTGGTCTACCATTTTAATGAAAATACCATAATTTCAGAGTTGTTAATCAGCATCTAAATTTTATAGAAAGTCATAACGGGAGCGATAACTTATCAAAAGGGGTGGCAAAGGATCGGGTCGGGTTTGGGACTCGATTGGACAGATACAAAAATAAAAAATAAATATATACTTGAGTATTATATTAAATATATACATATAATTATTCAAATATTGTAATAAAAATATATAGTTATATTTATTTAAATATGGACCCGGTTTCTATGCGACCAAACTCGCATATGTAGAAATGCGAGCCTATTAATAAATATATTTTTGAGATGGATTTTTGAACTTAATTTTTAAAGACATGTAATCTCTAACATGGTGATCATGAATATGAAAAAATAAGTAAATTCTAAAAACTAGAAATAATAATTCTAGTAAGAAATAATAATTATAGTAAAAAATAATAATTTTAGATGGAACACCTACTTGCATCCATCTTTAAGATGGATGCTTTACACTTTTTTGGAACATATGTAGTCATGCGGTCCATCGCGCATGAAACAAATTTTCTTTAAATATTAATTAAATGTTATTCAAATATTATATATTAAATATTATTTAAATTATAATACGATTTGGGTAGGATCCGAATATTGGACCCAGACTTGATCCACCATATCCAATTTTTTGACCCATAACCGGACCCGGGTCAGGTCTAAGTCCATTGCCCCCCCCTTTACTTGTCAATGATGCATCTTAAGCGCAATTCCTATTATTGATCTACTCCAAAAAAAAAAAAAAAAAAGAAAAGGAAAGATATATATATATATATATATAATTTTAATTTCATAAAGCTGCAATATATGAGAGAGAGAGAGAGAGAGGGGTCTAAACTATTATAATTTCATAAAGCTGCAATATATGAGAGAGTGAGAGGGGTCTAAACTATTAAATCACCATCACTATTTATATAAGTATCATAAATTCAAAGAGAGAGGTTATTTGTCGCCGACCCACACCAATAAAAGGTCAAAATTCACAAAGAAAAGTAGACCACCTCAATTTCATAAAAAAATGTGTGAGAGAGAGAGGTAACATATGAATCACAACTCAACTTCATTAAATTTATCATGATCATAGAGAAAGAGAGGGAGCTGACCCATTAGTCACCACCCCCCACTTGTAACTCACTCGTATTAGCACTTATAGCAGGCTGTTGCTGGAGCATGCTGTTCATTAGTTCCCTCGGACAAAAATACCTACACCGAGTAACTTTTTTATCTCAAAATTTGGGATCTACCCAAAAATCATTTGATGATTATTTTTTAAAAAATACTTAGTTCTTTACCACTTTGATTTTGCCCACAAAAAATTAGATACTTCCTATGTAATATTTGGATGTTATTTGGATGTTATTTTGTTAAGAGATTGTATACTATGATACCATTTATTTTTGCTAAAATGAGATCACAACCATTTTTAACCATTAGATGTAAAATTTAATATATTGAAGTGCGTCACAACATTATATAAATTTTATTATAGACATTATGCCCCATCAATAGCACACCCTTAGTAACTCGATGTCACATCCGACGATCAATAACAATTGTGAATTTCTTGTATCAAAGATAAATTGTCTCATTTTATATATTTCATTTTGTCAAAGTATCGCAATTTTATTTTATTTTAAATTTTTTTTGTTGAGGTCAAAAAAGTCCCATCTCAATAAACAATATGCTCCCCCGCAGGAGTTTATTTCAAGTTCAACTAGACAGATCACTCACACACGCCATGTCTTTGAAAATTGCGCGTCGTTTTCCCCCAAAATTCAAATACAAAAAAATAAAAGAAAGAAAACCGTAATAAAATGGAGAATTTAGTCAATAAATGGTTTAATATTGGCATAAAAAATCATCAACCAATTTATTAATATCTTTATGGTTGAAAGTATCATTTCACCCGTAACAGTTTTTTAATAAAAAACAACAACCTGAAACAAGTAGAGGCTCCAGTTTACTTGGTCCAAAATTATAAAAAAATATTTTAATGATAAATACAATATTTTTTATTTGTAACAAAAAACAAATAGAGGTATTTAAGGATCCCCTAAGTGGGGCTAATAAACATATTTGTTGAATTATAATTTGCAATATGTGTGCTTATTTGGATTCTAGGTCCAAACTAGGGGCACTTTGATTGTTTTTCACAAAATAATTGAGAAGTAATTTGCTTGAAATAATCCTTTTAAAGTAACTAAATCATTTTGTTAAATTGGTTAATTTGACAATAGGTGCTGATTTTTCCGAGTATTTTAACCACTTGGTGACTAAAAAAGAGAAGATTAGCATGCCCTATGTTGAGAAAAGCAGAGGCACTTACCAAAAAACACAAAAGCAGAGATATATCACAAATTTCAATGAAGGTTCCAATTTAGCTTCAAAAAATCTTCGAATTGATCATCTCAATCTCAATCTTGTAGAGTTCAAAAAAAAGAAAGAAAAAGATTTCAAACCCTAATTTTTTTTTTTTTTTTTGTAATGTATTTCTTAAAATGTTCAATTTCAAGTGTTCATAAATCCTCAATTTAAGAGCTTCAAACTATCATTTTAAGAGCTTCAAATTTCATAATCAATAGTAAAAATGGATTATCAAATTATCATAAGGTTCCCAATAGGAAAACTGCATTTTTCAGTAGGATTTTGAGGAGCAACTGTATTTTTTCTCATGTCGAGGCCTCATATAAATAAAATAAAAAAGTGAATTATGTGAAGAACCCCTATATTTTTTAAGCAAATTAAAATTGCTATAATATTTTATGATTTACATTCACATTCTATTTTTTATAGCACATCTAGTATTTTCAAATTTATCTTAATTTTATATATTAGATTAAGCTCAAATTATAGGTGTCCATATTTACGCCATAATGCACTGCTGAAAGGATAAAAATAATAATTTTAATCAAATAAGATGACCAAAAAAAAAAAGTATAAAATGAGACTATTTACCTTTGATACAAGACGGTCACATTAATCTTTATCATTTTGATGTGCAATTATATGGCTGTAGTTATTCTATTGACCAAGCTTAAATTTCAAAAGGAATTTTTTCGAGCCTTGTAACACATCAAAGTTGTCAGGTTTCACATCAAATGGTTGTAAAGAATTGTGACGACCTTATATCAAAGATAAATTGTCTCACTATGTACAATCCCATAACTAAAATGCCCCTAAAATTTGTACAAGTATTGTGATAATTTTTTATTTAATTATTTTTTACTGTTTACGGGTTTGAAGCGTGAATTTACGAAATTCGAACTTAATCCGACACATATAGAAAAATACAATTAAAATATTAAATGTGCTCTTAAAAAAATAATATGAATATGAAATATAAAATATTAATAATATTATTTTAAAGAGAAATGATCCTATAAGACCTTAATCCACTCATGTGTATAGGACTCTAAAAGATCACCATTAAATTTGACATGGATCTATAAAAAAATTAAGTCCCATACTTTTTTTAAATATCTGTAT